GGATAGGTTAACTTTAAGACCAAACTTGTCAGACCAGTTCTTTATATACTCTAGGTCCCTATTAAGAGACTCAATTGCTGTAGATATACAGTCGACCTTCGTGTGTGAGTACAACTGCAAGTCATCAGCATACAAATGATACGAACACTGAAGATTTGGGGTAATGAGATTTATAAATATTGAAAATAACAACGGAGATAGAATACCGCCTTGAGGAACACCAGCATTCAAGTCATACCAACTTGATGAGGACTCGTCAATGCGAACTGACTGCTGGCGGCCTCGAATGAAAGATGAGAACCACTCCAAAGCCTCAGATGAGATGGCAATAAAGGCGTTAGAGAAGTTAACCAAAACCAGTACTGTGACTTTAGTTTCCCCTATGCCTGCCCTAATGTCACCAGTGACTTTGAGGAGCGTGGAAACAGTGCTATGACCTGGCCTGAAACCAGACTGTAATGAGCTTAACAGGTTATTCGAAAAGATAAAATGTGATAGCTGTTTGTGTACACAAGCCTCTAGCACCTTTGATAAAAGGGAAGAATGGATATGTTGTCATCCAAGGTGCTGGCAGCCGCTTTAGCTTTACTTTTTTAATAGGAGCATGCATATTATACAGATTAATTAATACGTTATTAAATGCGCTAACTTTTTCGTCTACCGTGGGAGCGGCTGTCACTGTGTCCCAGTTAATTTTAGAAGCATCCTGGCACAACTTCTCTACATCCATATGGCCAAAACAACGCATGTACAGGGTTTTAGGTGAGGGTTTAGGAGGTTTCAGGATATAGGAAAGGAAAATGAAATCATGATGGGCGAAACCAGATGCATAATGTTGACCATGAGTAGAGACAAGGGTCGGGTTTGAGGTGAGCATTAAATCGAGCCACGTGTCCTCCCCGTCCGCATTGTGGTGAGTGGCTTGTAGAGGTAGAACATGAAGGCCAACCGACTCGATTATTTGAAGGAACTTATAGGAACGGGATGAGTGCGAAGCCATGAGATTTGTATTAAAATCACCCATGATGATGTGATGTGAGTATTCTGACCCTAAAGATTCCAGAGTCGTTTCGAGACTGGAGAAGTAATCAACAGAGGGGGGGGGACAATATAAAACACCAAGAACGGTTTTAGCTCCTTTCACACATACTTCAAGAAAAAGAAATTCAGCAGATGCGGAGTAAAAGAGAAGAGAAAGGTAGAAAATCACCCAGCGTATCAGTTATGGAACAAAAACTATCGTCAATAGATGTAGCAGATTCGTTGGCAGAAAAAAAAGAATCATCACCAGCGTTCATAAAAATAAATATAGATTTTTATATATATAGTATATGATATAAAATATAAACATAAACATAAACACTCACGCCTGTCACCCAGAGGGGTAGGCAGAGACTACAGACTTCCATTTGGCACGATCCTGACACACCTCTCTCGTCTCCTTCACATCCATACACCTATGCATACATGCTCGTCGGTTAAGGGTACTCGAAATTTATCGACCAATTTGGTCGATAAATTTCGCCTAGGACGTCCCTTTCCGACTCTGCCATTCACTTCTGCAACATAAATTTTCTTTGTCACTCTTTTCTCATTCATTCTTTCCACATGACCAAACCACCGAAGCATTTCTTTCTTAATCCTGGTCACAACATCATCTTGCAAACCACACTCTTCTTTTATTACACAATTTCTTACCCTGTCATTCAGATTCAGCCTTAATATACTCCTTAACGACCGCATTTCTACTGCGTTTATTCTACTCTCGTGCTTCTTCTGCCACACCCAACTTTCACTACCATACGTTAAAGTAGGGACCAACACAGCATTGTGAATTGCCATACGTGCCTTTTTCGACACATTTTCACTCTTCACAATAGAGTGTAGGGCCCCATTTATTCTATTTCCTGCATTCACTCGTCGTTCTATATCCTTATCACATCTCCCATCCCTGCTAAATACGCAACCCAGATATACAAACTCATCTACTTGCTCAATCAACTCCCCTTCTATTTTTATTTCACATATCGTCTTACTTTCTTCTCTTTCAAAAACCAATCTTTTAATGATCTGTTCATTAATGTAACCATCATTTGCAGCTCTCCGACGACGCAATAATAACTTGATCATCGGCGTACAAAAGGCATTTGACGGTTAACTCACCCATTCTTAATCCGCATTCTTCAACTTACAAATTTTGCAAACAACTTTCCATAAATACGTAGAACAGCCACGGGAAAGCCACACAGCCCCGTTGTGCCCCACACCTTTATGGATGCCAAACCAGTCCGAGTAGACCCCGTTGATCCTAACACAAGCACTAGAGTCCCTATAAAGCGACTCCAATGCCTGTATCAAGCCAGCGTTCAACCCAAATGAATTCAGTGTTTGCCATAGCTCATCCCTATCCACTCTGTCATAGGCCTTTTCCAAGTCCATGAACGCACAAAAAACTTTTAGATATAAAATATATAAAACTAATTAAATTATTATTAAAACGTACCTAACTGAGGTTGTAAACTAAGGCGTACTGTCATCTCTGCACCACCCGCCGGCTAACATACGCACCTTAAATTACTAACTTATCAAATAATAAGCAAAATGAATTAAAAAGATAATGTAAAACACGAATCATATGTACGTTAAACACATAAGTATCGAATTAAGTATTACAACAGATAGAAGTGAAAAGTTGCAACACGCAGTTACAAAAACGTAGTTGTCATTGCGACTTTAGTGATGGAGTGTGTTATTTTTATATGTTTCTCTCGTGGAATTCGATTATTACGAAATTTCTTATTTTATTCCTCGGGACCTCTAAATCGGGATATAAAGTTTCCTATATGTTAATTCAGGTAATAAACTATTTGGGTGCCAAATTATTACATTCAAACTGGTCTGATACTTTTGGCGTGATTGAGAATTAAACAAACATTCAAACTTTTGCATTTATTATAGTTTAATCAGTGTGAGTATTATGACTGAGTCTAATTTATTGTCTAACAAACAAACAAAAATTCTTTAATTAGTATTTCTTCTTTAGTAATTCCCGGGAAATAATTGTAACATTAATAATAGATAGTTACATTATGAAAACAAAAAAAAAACGACTGCTTAAAATTAATGAACTGAAAACATAGGTATAACTTATATATACTTCAGTAATCTCCTTTTAATTTCCTTTATTTGGATACCCCTATCGATAGCTTGAGTAAAAAAAATTAAGGACTTACAATTTGGCGACAAAAATCCGTCATATTGATTTAAAAAAAACTATCTAAGAACACACGGGTATTTGAGACGAATCTTTTTCTAAACAAGCGCCACATTATCGATATTAAGTACAGTGCGCAGCACTACGTCAAGCCGCCATCTTTGTACCAGACTCAGTTTACGTATACACGTTTTTGTCGTAGGTATGTATTTATATGTCGTTTTTCTCTAGACAAAGGTACACAACGTGATAGACTATAAACTATAACACTACGTGACAGGTTACCCAAATTCGAAATATTACCTTTAAGTTGTCAAACGTCAAATTGGCATTACTTCTGTATATATTAATATTACTCTACTCTATGGGCATTACACTAGAATAGAAATGACAGAGTTTTGGCGGGAACTTGGCCGTAGACGGATTGTCGCTCCTGTTTTGTCGCTTGTATAATGGTTTGAAGTGGATTTTGATTCGTAAAAGTGATGCGATTTTGTGAACTAAGTGTCCGCGCGTGTGATCTATTAGAGAAAACGACGAAACAAGTGCTTTGATGTCGATATAAACCTCAAGTTATTTTGATCGCTTGGGCGCCTCATGAACTTGAGTGGCCGTCGTCATCAACTGTCCGCTAGGTTGAGCTGTCGTCAAAATCTTCCAAGGGCTTCGCAATGTGACGCATCAGCATATTGTGAAGAAAAAGATCATAAGGGTGAATCTTGAGAGGCTCAATTTACGTTGTCAGGAGAAAAAAAGTACCCGTAGTATTAAAATTAGAAACCAAATTATTTTTTATGCTATAATATAAAGTATGATCTAACTGAGGCACGATATTTTTTGTGTCTAATTTGGTATAATAATATAGTAAAAAAATCCGAAAGGTCTAAATATTGATACCCCTGGCGCGTCCGCTTCACATTTCGCTAAAAACTTACCACCAAAGCACTTACTTATGAACGGAAATAAAATAAACAATGCAGTCTAATCGCTACCAGGTTTGTTGTTGGTATATAAAAAAATATACCGTATGTGTATTTATGACAGTTTTATTAAGAATTATAATATAAAGTTTGTCCGAGACTAAACAGTAATTCCCGTGGCGCGTCACTAAACTACGTGCATCCCTAGTGGAATGTTCTATAGGAGTGGATCCGTTTCGTCGCATGAGCGCTAATAATAGCGCTTCGAACGTCGTTGTGGAGGGTTGCGCCGCTCGTTGGTCAAACGAAATTACGAAGGTAAATATTTGATTCCCTTGGTTTTGATTAGCTAGGTCGTTGATTACCCTGACCACGTTTATAAATGTAATATGAGTTTTAATGATTTGTTATCGAGTGTTAATGGAACAACTTTAATGATCGTTATTAATTTATTTCATTTTTATTATTTAAAACGTATTCTTTTTATCAGAATCGATAAAACATCCTTTTTGATTCCATTGGCATTGATTCTCTTGGTATTTGCGCCAGGGTAATCAAAATTCCTGATGAAAAATCGAAATATTCCTAATTTTCAATGAAAACAAAAAAAATTGCGTTATTTCTTACACATATATTTATTTTTTATCCGTTTTATCGATTAAAGATTATTTATTATTATTAATTCGCGCGACTTGCCTGCGTGTTATTTGAAAACGACAAATTTTATCAATTTGAACAATTTATATGAATATCTTAATGTCCTTGTTCGTCTCGCAAACAAAGCCCAAACCAACTACGAAACAAATTTTAGAGATCAGCTATGTTAAGTTTTTAAATCACTTATAAACATATTTCAGATTTGAGCAATGCCTCCAGAACAATCAAAGCAAGAAAGGTTAGAGAAGAAACGACTTGCTGAGCGTCGCAGACTACAAAAAATTAAGAATGATCCCGAACTTAAAGCACAATTGCAAGAAAAAGAAAGGCAAAAATATTTGAAGAAAAAAATCTGGGAAGATTATACCAGTAGGTGTAGTCCACAGCAGCAAAAACTTGCAAGAAAGAAAAGTAGGGAAAGTTCAAATCGTTACAACCAGAAGAAGAAACTTAGAAAAATCCAGGATCTTGAAGAAATTGTCAATTATTCAGATAAGATAGATTCAGAAATAAATAGTGATAACAACGAACATCCTCTAATTCTGATTCCACCTCACTCGTCTAATTCTTTTACCATTGAATCATCGCCACCTCCAAGTCCCGATAGTGATATTTACGCACCACCAAGTCGAATCACAAGATCTACAAGAAGAAAAAATCTTGATCAGACTTCTATACATCAACTTGGTTTGGAATTAGAACCAACTTCATTCAGTGACACCGACACATCTTCATCTTGAAGTCCCATTAGTGACATAGCTACCGAATCAATACCAAATCCAATTCGATCCTTAAGCAAAAAACAAAATCAAGCTGGTCACAAAAAGTCTATTAAGAAAACATAGCCCTGGAAATACCTTTTAAGAAAAATAAAATATAGGACAGATAAGGAAATTGCTAACAAAAGATATAAAAATTCAAGAATTGAAACTAATAAATGAGAAGTACAGAAAACACACACACAGATAAATAGATTAAAAAATAGTAAGTCTGAAAGAAAAGCAGTTGAAATGTCTAACCCAAAATAGTCAAAAAAAAAGAAAAAATCGACTCTCAAAAACGATTTATTGAAACATCAAAAACTAAAATGAAAACAGCAATAGAAAATTTTTTCGAAGATGATGAAAATAGTAGACTTTGCCCCGGAAAGAATGAATATGTAACACGGCATAAAATTAGAAAACAAAAGCGATACCTAAATTTCAACTTGCATCAGTTACATCAAAAGTTATTCAAACAGCATCACGAGTATAAAATTAGTTATAGCTTTTTTTGTACCTTGCGACCATTTTGGACAATAATTCCAAACGTCAACTCCCGAGAGACGTGCCTCTGTATTGCTCACGAGAATATGAACCTACCTGTTATGGCTCTTAAAAGACACGGGATAATAGCAGAAAAATCGACGTATGATGTTCTTAAATTCCTGTGTTGTGATTCGAGGAATGTAATATGTTTGAGTAGAAACTGTGACTGCTGTAAAAATAGGCATTTGAATTACCAGGAATTTGATAATTCCAAGGGAAGCCACTACTGATTTTGGACAAAGTCTAAAAAGAAATATATCAAGAATGGATAAGAAAAGGTTGCCATGCAATCATTGAAGCAAAAAGTATTAGCATATCTTGAAAATATAATAGAGCATTTTGAAAAATTATTAGAGCCATATATGTGCCATTGCGCAAATACTGTTGCTCAGAATAAATACATCAAAAATTTGAAGTCAAATCTGAAATCAGGAGAATTCATAGTACATAGTGACTTCAGCGAAAATTACAATACGAAATACGCTTCTGAGATACAGTCTTTTCATTTTGGGAGTTCAAGACAACAAGTGACCCTACACACTTCTGTCATTTATTATGTAAAAAATGAAGAGATTAGTACCAAATCATTTTGCACCCTGAGCGAGTGCTTACGACACGACGCTGTGGCAATTTGGGAGCACTTGATTCCTATCCTGAACTTCATTGAGAAGGAGGTTTCCGAAGTGAAGTTTTTAAATTTTATATCCGATTCCCCATCTGCACAGTACCGTATCCGTAAAATGTTTTACGTGATGGCCAACCTTCATTGGAACTATCCAAAACGTCGCGTGGTTTGGAATTACTCCGAAAAAGGGCATAGAAAGGGAGCTACAGATGGTGTGGGGGGAGTATTAAAAAGGACTGCTGATCAAATTGTTGCTCAAGGGAATGACATCCCAAATATTGAAGCCTTAATCAGCCATCTTAAAATTAGATGCCCGGGTGTTTCCATAGAGGAATTTGTAGAATCAGTCATTTTAGAAAAGGAATTATTGATCCCTTCAGATCTAAAAGAATTTCGTGGTACCATGGCAGTGCACCAAGCTATATGGAGCTGCAATAATCCTGAAGTATTAACCATGAGGCGTCTTGGTTGTGATATGGGAATATACTCTGAAGAATCAGTGCAATGTTCACATGGACAACATATTGGCTTCTATAACATTGGGAATACAGCTTTAAGCAACAATACTTAACCATCAAAAACTAGGAAAATAATGCTATAGCTGAGTGCAGTAGAACATCTTTTGGAATTTCCATTCCTAAATCAGACCATGGACTGGATGAAATTTCAGTCGAAGACCGCCCTGACAGTAATATACCGTCTGATGACAGCTGCTGGACTGATGTTCCTTCAATGAATGAAAATTTAACATCTACCACCATGACCAAACCGTATTAACAGCCCTCCATTATGAAGATGATGATTCCAGCTCAGATTATAACATTTTTTAGATTAAGTATTACCCTGATATCGATAATAGCTTTGATTAATAATCTGAGTGTAGGTGATTTTAAAAACAAAATATTTGTTTTGAGATATTTCTTTTTCAATTGTTAAGAATTATGTTACCGAAAATATAGATAATTGATTTTTTATAATTTTTGCTAATATTGTTGACTTTAAAAAAGGAATAGTTTTAGTGTTTTAATTACATTTTCCTATTCATTGATAAGTGGTTAAGGTAAAAGTGCCAATTTCTACAACCAAAAGACTGAACTAGTACTATATAGAGGTATAGACCTACTGTAAAATTATAATAGAACTTGAATTTCTTATATAAATTGTTTTAATTTTGATTCCCTTGTCGTGTTTTATTGATTCCCCTGGCCAAAAAAAATTTAAACGCTATATTTTAGGAACCATCCGTCCAAATGATGCCTGTTCGTTAAACGTGTTTATAATTAAGTTAAATTTTATGTTACATTGTTACTTGCAAAAAATCTGTTTAAATAAATTTCGCCAAGGGAATCAACTGAATATGCCAAATCTCAGGATTCACCCATAAAATGAAGATTCTCAAAGAAAGGATAGGCTCAGAAGGTCTAGAAACCAGAGCCGTAAAGCCAGTTAATAAAGAAAAATAGAAATGACAACTGACAATTATTCATACAACATACAAAACATGATTACCAGTGTGACCATTTGTGGCAGATTTCTGTCGTTTCAGCAGATTTGGCTTTTAGATTTGAACTCTGGCAGACTAAGCTGACGATTCAAAAAAAGTGGCAGATTTTGGAAGATTTGAAAGAAATCTTTATTATTTATGGAATACATTTTTCTATATTAGTATTTGTATATGAAACACTTATAATTTTCGAAGTCTTATTTTCTTATTTAATTTATTTTTTAATATACATTTATTTGGTAGGAAATTATTTACTGAGGTGGTAACATAGTACATAGTAAAACATAGTTTGTCAAGATAGTACTTTTATTTTATTATTATTATTATTTATTACACAATTATAACATCATTACAGTTATTAAACCAATGCGATGCTATAACTAACCTAAATATAAGAAAACTACTAACTAGCAAATAATGATATCTAGTATGAAAACTATCAAATTGATGGTAAAATAAAATACTAATTAAAAACATTACAATTTTCAACGCATTTGTACGCTGCAATTATGAATTTCGTGCAACATGCAAATATGTCAATATCCTGTGAGATGATATTAACATAGTGTATAGCACGTGAGAACGTACGGGTATTTCTCGTTTATTTAATTTTTATGGTACGCCATATGATTATGAACGGTAAAGAATCAGATATAAGGTTTTATTTCTTATAAAAATAACTGTTCGATTTTCAAATCAATGTTTGCTGTCTTGTCTATCTGATAACCTGATCTGCCACCTTATTCTCGTTTGATATTTAATGTGTGCAGTTGTGTCTTTATGATGAAGAGAAAATACGAGCGTTCTTACCGATCTGAGTGAGGGAGAAAGATGCTTTGCTTTCGTCCTAGTTTTTCAGAGGTAAGGAGGATCTTGATGTTGCATGTTGCAAAGCTTGTAATTGTAAATTAGTTACAAGATTGACTTTATTAAAAGAACATGTCGTGTCATCCCAAAAACATAAGAAGCATATGACGGGGTATAGCGGCCAATCATTGGTAAGTATTTCTCAATAAATGTAAACATGTTTTTTTATTCTTATACTATTTTACTGGACATTGTATATTTTTTGTACATTGTAAGTAAGTTATTTCAGGTGCAACAGATTTTTAAGAGCTCTACCTTAGAAGAGGAAGTCAAAAAAGCAGAACTTATTTTTTGTGCTATGCTAGTAGAACACAATTTACCGTTTCTATTAATGGATCATTTGAGCGAAATTATCTCAAAATGCTTTCACGATTCTGAAATTGCCAAGTTATTTTCCTGCAAGAGAACTAAAGTAGCAGCGGTAACCTATAATGTTTTAAGCCAGATCTAGAAGCAGAAATGCTTGCCGATTTAAAATCATGTAAAAACATAAAAAAATCGTACACCAATATTTTCCTTGGCTATAGTTGAGACCACAGATGTCACAACTAGGGCTTGCTATTCGAATATTCGTTTTATTCTAATATTCACCTCATATACTATTCGAATAATGTGTAGAGTAATATTCGAATATTTCGAATTTTTCGAATACTACAAATATCATAGAGATAAATAGAATTTAATAATAAAAATATTTCAGAACATTTTTCAGCCGTAGTAATCCAAACATTGGAGAAGCTTTCCAACTCGCTGAACATAATAAAGGCAAGAGTTGAAGCACTTTGCGAACATAAGGCAAATCTATTAACATGTGAAACAGCCCTAAAGTTTATGATAACGAAGCTTACGGAAAGAAATAGCAAAATAAGCCGTGAACTAGCTGAATCATTGAAAACTCGCATATCGCAAAGAAGATCTTTAGAACTGACAGGGACTTTAAAATATCTGCACAACCACTTGAAATTTCATCAAGAACCGCCTTCTAATGTATTTCCTAATCCCTCAAATGAGATGATGGTTGAAACAATAACCTATATCAATAAGAAATATTTTAAGACAATGACCAGCAACATCATTTTCGATGAAGATGATGAAGTCACGCATTCTGATTTACAACAGCGGGAAAGAATGCTTCAAAATTCTCTTGCTGACAAAAGTATCCAAGAGCAGCTGCGAGATCAAATTGATGATACTTTGATTAATAAGACGACTTCATCCCCCTCATTTACATTTAGGTCTAACGAAGACTTAGAAATTGCAATACGTGTAGAGATGGCATCTTATGAGGCTGGAGGTTTAAAAATGTACATTTAATAAGGGCATATAATTTTTTGTTAACGATTCCTCCAACAAGTGTAGAATCTGAAAGAGTGTTTTCGTGTGGATGTAGGATGACATGCAGCTACTTTCGTAGCGCCTTAAATGATGACACTCTAGACTGCCTTTGACCTTTCGTTTCTTAGGTCATATTATCAAAACAAGAAGTATTGCTTAATAACTTTTTGATAAACTTTACTTTTCATTTGTCAAATATTTCTTACCTTTTAATCATAAGTACATAGGAATATTGTAGTAATTTTTTTATTTCCTAATTTTGAAAAGACTAAATTTACGTTTGGTATAAGAAGTCGATTTTATTGTAATTTTAAAATGTTAACTTTATGTGTATGAATATTAATAAAAGAATTTATTTCATTTATGTCTCATAGAAGAAAAATATGGAGAAGTTTATTAAATAGTTTTCTCTCTTAAATTTAACCTATAAGAGATTATTGTTTATTTAGTCGTCGGATAGTTAGTGATTTATGCCAATAAATATTTAAAAAAAATGTTGTTCGCTTTGATTATATGACAGGTATATAATCAAAAGTTGTTCGTCTTATTTTTCTTTTGAAACTCTACCTAGGTGTCTAATGTGCTATAAAACATCCACGAAGTATGTGCTATATGTAAGTTAAATGACATGTTGTTCCTTAAGTAGAAAACATTCGAAAAATTCGTAATATTCGAATAATTCGAATAGTATGTCGCGAACTATTCGAAATATTCGAATAGTAAAATTGAACGAATAATACAAGCCCTAGTCACAACCACATTAACGCTTGCAGTTGTTACCAAATATTATTCCGAAAACAGCTTCAGGTAAAAACAAAATTTTCAACTTGGTGGACTTGAATGGAGAATCAGTCCAAGCTTTTTTCGATGCACTTTCCGAGGCTTTAACTAATGCTAACCTTGATATTAACAGATGTAAATTACAATTACGACATTTAACAAACTAATGGTAAGTTTGGCTAACAAGGTGGTATTATGGCCAAAAAAAGACATACATATTTTGTGGAGATAGACAAGAAATCTATCGCCACAAAAATAAGGAACAGGTTCTTAAACAAACATGTATCCGCTTTAATCACAACAAAAATAGGTATAAAAGAAAACGGAGACTGTATCTCTTTTAAACCAACGAAAGAATCGATTAAAAAGATGTCGTCGAAATCAGTATATAACGAAAATGAAGAGTATGAAGCAAACGTTGAATAATAGTAGGTATCGTATAGTATACTAAGATTAATAGTGTTGTAAAGTTCTTAAATGGAAAAAAAATGGAAAATATTGTAGAATAAAGAATTTCCTTTGAATGCATAGTATTTTATTTATGCATACCCGTCTCAGTGCATGCAATAATATGTTGGCATATTTTTGGCATTTTCTGGAGTCGGTTCAGCAGATTTTTTTTCCATTGTGTGGCAGATTTGCCGTTTTTGAGATGGTCACACTGATGTTTACATTGTAGTTCGAGAGAATAAATAGGTAGCGAATATTGGGTGCGTTTGGCAGAAAAAAGCGCTAGCAAGCGCTTGTAAGCAAAATGGCGATCGTAAGCGGTAAGTGTCAAATCGTAAGTAGCTATTTTCCTCTAGGACACGATATTAGTTTTAACCGGGGAACCTAACCTAATTTAAATATATGTTTATAAAGTATTCATATTAAAAACTTACCAATTATGAATTTTTAATAACATGTATATGTTTATTCATGTCATTATATTACTTAAAACTAATATTGCACAAAACAACTTTTAAACTCTACTTCAAAACAAACAAATTAAATAAGCAAAATGGCGGATTATGTCAGCGCTACTGAAGTAGCAATCGTGTCCTGGCGGAAAACTATTTTAGCGCTTGTAAGCGCTTGCTAGCGCTTTTTTCTGCCAAACGCACCCCTTTATCTTAGTAATTATAAATACGATATCCATGTTACAAGAACAAGGAAGGAGGATATAATTAGTTTAAAAAGAAAACCAGAAATAAAGCAAAATAAAATTGTATACATTTTACCTAAAAAAAAATTAAAAAAAATTGAGAAATTTTGTATTAAGGTAATGAAAAGTTAACACACGAAACTACAAACTTCAATTGTCGTCACTTACGAAGTTTTGAAAGAGAGTTCGTTGATCCCACAACTGCGGTCTTGCCCTCAACCAAGGATTCAGCTGCTGATTTGGGGTATTTCTGCTTTAAGGAGTTCAGATCGTCTAGGGAAGTGATCTTATTCCGGGATCCATCAGCAGCTTTTACCACAATTACACCGTCCTGAGTCCAGCAATCTCGCATACCAAAATGCTGCCGGGCTTTAGCATGAACAGCTTGCCGGTCTTTGTCAAGAATTCTTTAACTGCAATCGATGAACCCTTAAGTTTGGTACTTTGGCCTCCACACCGATGTTCTAGAGTCAATGTCAACAAACCGTACCGATTGGTCGTTGACGGTTTTTACTGGCTGCTCCAATCCTGTGACAAACTCTGATGCTAGAGGCTGTAATGTCTGTTAACTGCATCTTGCGAAAAATGCTCATCATAGTGGCTTTACAATCTTCCTTCTCTTCTTCAGTATCACCAAGGAAAATGAGAGCCTTTCGACGATGCCTGGTTTCGATGACATCTACCATATGAGAGCACTCAATAATCTGCTTGCGAAGCATCCCAAGCATTGAGTACATGTGTTCACGGAAAGTCTGGAATTCTACAGCCACCTTTGCAACAGTGTCTTTAGCGGGTCCCCCAGTATGCAGCTGTGCTTCCAACTCAGCCATCTTTTTAGAAAAGCATTCCTCTAGAGTATTTTGAGCAGTTCTTATTTCTTCTAGTTGAGACATTCTGTTGTAAAAATTATTCTAAGTGTGATGTGCTGGCAGGTGGTGAATTTTAAATCAGTTTACATGCATAAACACATAAGTACTAATTAATGATGTATTTTTGCACCAAATAAATAAGGTCAGGTGGGGTAAGAGGGACATACTTTATTTTCAGTAAAATATTTTCACTGCTAGGAAGAACAGATAAAGTCTTTTAAGATCTTTGAACCAAACAAAACTTGCCTTTATGTATTAGCTTCACATGTGCAAAATGTCTTTACGCTAGTATCTGTTTTTACTATGATATTGACGTAAATGTCAAGATTGAGTAAACGTTCCTCTTCCCCCTTACGTGGGGTAAGAGGGACAGTCATTGTATTTCTTAAGATTGGACTTTGAATTAAAATATTCTTCGCTAAATGTTCGTTAATTTGTAGGTAGAACTGCTTCGGTCCAAATTAGATCTTACAATCGATGAAATAAGGTATCGTTTGAAATGAAAAAGAAGAAAAAATCAATCCGGGGTAAGAGGGACATACAGGTTCGATCAGGGGTGGCAAACTAAAAAGAAGTTGACCAGTTATATTTCTATATTTATTTAATCATACAAACGGTAATAATATATCTCCCTAACTAGTTTTCCCTAGTTAGTCACTTTTTAAAAATAACAATGGCACTTTGGATTTTAAACCTTTGTGGTCGTATACACGGTTAACAAATGTTATTCTTGGTATATTATAAAGTTTTGATACGAAGTATGCAGATATTGTTCCATTTAATACCGCATTGACAGCCTCACTTAATTTATCATTATCATATCTGCTTCTATCAGATATATATATATATATATATATATATATATATATATATATATATCCTACAACAGTCAAAATTGCATTACTATATATCAAAATATTACAATTAAAAAGAAAGGGACGTATACAAAACGCATGAAACGTTATTTATCTAAACTAATTTAAAAAAAGAAACATTTGATTTTTTATTTGTTTGTTATGATTTATATAACTCAAAAACTCTAAAATCCGATTTAAAAAATAAATTTAACACAAAAATAGGTAAGCGTGGACGAAGTTGTGGGAAATTTCTAGTTAGTTATAATTTAAAAGTGTAGTAGGTACAAAACAGTCAGTCAATTCTTTTCATTTAACCTACCTATAATTATAAATTATTAAAAATGTGTGTTACCCCTGACATAGTGTAAAAGAAACATATGTTCCTCTTTCACCGTGAATAGTGAGCCTCTTACCCCAGCTATTGCTTTTGAAGGTTTAGATTTTCAAGCGAAATAAACTCATATTATTAGTTGTTTTTAGACTAAAATGGTTAATAAAAAGAAATAATTACAGTTTTCTCCTCATATCATTACATTCAAAATATTTCCAGCACTCTTTTTTCACCAAACTATTGGTTCGCAAAAAAACGCGCTAACTTTGTACTAGTCGAATTCACAACTGTCAAATGTGTCTTCATTTTTTGTGACTTCTGAGTCACGTAGCGATATCTGTTGAAAAACGTTCAAACTATTTCGCATTCACTGTTTTATTGAAGAAAAGTTCATAGTCATACGCACTTCGGTTTACTAGTTATGGTCCGTAGTCCCTCTTCCCCCGGTGTCCCTCTTACCCCACCTGACCTTACATGAATAATGTACTTTAATGTATCAATTACTTTAAAATATATTTTTGAAAACATAAGAATGTGTACACTTTTTTCTTCGCCTACCGCCAAAAAAAACATTTTCTTGTGACATAACAAGTTTAATAGATTTTTGCCTTAAATGTTCAGGACAAGTAGGGTCTTTTGTGGTGTGGGGACCTGAGCAAAACAGACAAGTAGGAGTTTATCGGGTACAAGATAAACCTTCATGACTCTATGCACATACAAAGCAGCGAGGGGATGATTGGCACTGGGAAGTAACATGGCCAAATCTACAACATTTATGACATTGAATTAGTGGCAAAACATATTTTTCTACTGGCGTAGAGGTGTAAAAACAATAAATATGGGGAGGAAGTTTTTGTCCAAAAAAAGTTAGAACGACTGTCTGAGTTGGAACCCATGAAACGCTATTGCTGTCACTCACTGTTCGTCTATTAAGTCGACATGCTTTAATTATAGAACTGTAGCCAGAGGGGATTTCTATAGCTGCTATTAATTCTTCTAGTGTCCACTCTATGGGAACTATATGAGGGAATGGTTGCTTCATATTTAGAAATTTGGAGAGCTGGGTGATCGATAAAGGTGTTTGCATCCGCTGCTGTTTTAAACTCCACTGATATTCTATTTCGTCCAACTTTTTTCACTTCGTCACGGACTATATTTTTAATATTGTTATGATACAGAAAGTGACCGAATTTAATTGGTTTAAGAGTTACTCCAGACAGCTGATCATTTCAGATTTTACTTATGTGAACTAGAAAAGGAGCGGCATCATATTGAGAGTACTTAACTTTTTTATTAATAAAATCAGGATGGGTATATGATGATTGTATTGAAGGAAACTGTTGATTTGGATCAGTAATAACTATTTTTTGTGGATGGGCAGACTCGTTACTTACTTGGGCATGTTTACAGTTAATTAGTTCTATGTTATCAATATTATTGGGTAAGGAAAAGGAATCATTGCGAACCCTTCCGGGATCGGGAGGTTCGTCCTCCATTATATTACTACAACAAAAAATTACATAAAAACGGCACAACTACAAACACTTACTAATTTACAGATGTTAAAACCTCCACCAAGACAAAAAAATTTACTATAGTAAATCAACAGCACTTAATAAAACATAAAATTTTAAGCAAGAAAGCCACTTGTATCTCTCACTTCCTCAAATCTAAAAAAAGGACCCTGCCAACCAACCTGCCATGAATGGCAACTATGACAAATATCCCTTCCTATAATTTATGTGGAGAACTATATTCAAAGTAGGAGGAATCACACTAGGACGCACATCCATATACGAATACCGAATTTTGTTTTATGTGTGTGTATTCAACCAGGCAGCTCACCTAGCATCAATGTGTGATGCGGGATTCGAAATCTTGATCTGTAGCGCCGCAACTAATTCCCAAGCCACTGTGCTACCAATTATCTTTCGTATAATATCGATTATCGATTTTTACGTGGTAGAGCCATGCTGCAATATCTTAGTAGTATAGTTGTATCACGAATGGGTCGAATCGACCGAGGAAGAACGAGAGGAAGTAGAGCGTGCTCTCATACTAGCGTACAATAGCAGCTTATGGCGAGTGTGAATTTTTTTTTTGCGCCCGAAGCAATTAAAAGGCTACCCTATACGTAGGGAGGCGGAAAATGCATTACGCATACCACGATAGCCGGTCTATCGTGGTTATGAGGGGCTCACTGTCCTACCGGGGACCCTAAGTGATACCCTCTAAAAACCGCCTTTGGGGACAGGCAACCGGCTGATTAAGCTCTATTGTGCCTTATCATGAGCGACCCTTTTTTGGGAAAAGAGAGCGCAGGCGGCTAAGTGCCGCTGAGGGAGTGCCTACGAAGGCAATTTAATGTTAGTTATTACAATAATTTTATTTAATTAGAGTTGGCCTGAGCCGCCAGGAGACAGTTCAGGTCGTTTGAAAGTTTATTAGGCGGGTCCGAGAGAGAGTTTCTCGGCCTGCGGACACGATAGCGAGAGGGGGGTGGGGCTGCATAATAAGCTGCCTCACGAATTAAATGGTTTGGGTGCGACTCTGAGGCTTTGAAGAAGTTCTCAGAGAGTTTTTTAAAAAATTGTTGAATTGTTGGGAGCTCTAAGTCCCGATGAAGGTCGGCATTACGGACGTACCAAGGTGCGTTCGCAGCTCGACGACAGAAGAGGTTCTGAACTATTTGGAGTTCATTTAAAATATTAGGGTTAGCGTGGGCAAAGACGGGGCCCGCGTAGGACATGACTGGTCGTATACAGACCTTGTAAAGGGTACGCTTGTTTCGAAGGGACATTTTACTGTGTCGGCCCAACATGCTGTTGAGCCTACTCAGATAAAATCGTGCGTGACGGGTTACTCTTTTGACGTGGGGCTTGAAAGTGAGCCCTGTGTCTAGTGACACCTAAATATTTGGCGGACGTATGCCAGGGGACAGGGGTCCCTAGCATACGTATTGGTGGAGTGTTTTTGAGACGGCGTCGTTTATAATCGAAGTGAACGGCGGAGCTCTTCTCCGGGTTCACATCGATGCGCCATTTTTTGAACCAAGCTCCTAGGTCATCAACTGCAAAATTCGGTTCTTGTTCCGTATAAAGGGTAGTGAGACACCTTTGCAGTAGATGGCAGTGTCATCTGCAAAGAGGGAGAGTTGAACACCTTTCGACGGGATGGGAATGTCGTTGGTGAACAGGATGTACAGCAGAGGAGCAAGTACTGAGCCCTGAGGGACACCAGCCTTGATAGTTCGCAGTGAGGATAGCGTGCCTTCGTGTCTAAAACGAAAGGTACGATGTTTTAAGTATGAGGCCACGAGACGAACTAGACGATCGGGGAGACCTATTTTATAGAGCTTGTAGATGAGGCCTGTGTGCCAGACTCTATCGAAAGCTTTAGCTATATCGAAAAAGACCGCGATGGTCTTATGACGACGAGGATAGAAACCGCTGAGGATATATTCCACAATGCGGTGGACTTGTTGGGGAGGGAACCGTAGACCCTTTTTATAGGAAACGAGGCATTCTGTCTTAGTCCTCACGGGTGACAACGCATCTGGATTTTGATTCGTAATCGAGGATAGATGTAGACGTCTATGGGCCAAAGCAACCATTTACCACCAGGTGGACTGTGTGCTCGTTTGTCACCCTTATCCTACAAAAAAAATCTGAATATTAAGAACCGCTGTTCACAGCTCGGTATTGCAGTAGGTAAGCATAAGCATTTGGCTGCGACGAAACAGAGCCGCGGTTTTCAATCCCTCAGGGAACAAGTGTTTGTTTGGCGAAAAGCAATTGTTCTTGGTATGGATCTGGAACTATATGTATATAAAACTTCTTCGCTATACAAAAAAAAATCCCAATGTATGTGTTAACGCGAACATCTCACACCAAGATACTAGTCTGGTTATTTCATATACATACATAACATACATAAACACTCACGCCTGTCACCCAGAGGGGTAGGCAGAGACTACAGACTACCATTTGGCACGATCCTGACATACCTCTCTCTCCACCTCCACGTTGATATACCTACGCATACATGCTCGTCGGTTAAGGGTATATCGCCAATTTGGCCGATAAACTTTAGCCTAGGACGTCCCTTTCCGACTCTTCCATTCACTTCTGCAAGATAAATTTGTTTTGTCACTCTTTCCTCATTCATTCTTTCTACATGACCAAACCACCGAAGCATTCCCTTCTTAACACTCCACACGCGCCCTATATAGTCACAGGTCCAAAATATAATGAATTTTTTATTACATAGGTATACAAATAAAATAATTTAGTTTTTTTTACATATAATCAGTCTTTATCGACTTATCAAAATACAAAAAAAAATAGTCACTTCTCAACTGAAACAAAAAATAAAAAGTATTTGGCTTAATAACGAAAAAACTACAGAATAAAGATACTTGTGCGTAAATTAAAGGTGTTCCTCAACATTCGACGACTCATTGGGCTCTGTTCCAGGCTTCTGAAATTTCTGACAAGATGTTCTTTAGATCTTTAGATCTTCCGCAGTCGTATCATCTGGCCGTTTTGGTTCTTTTCTTTGGTACATCTTCGTCTTGAGACACAAAATCTCTTTTATAATTAAAAACATCATGCTCTTTTCCTTGATATAACAAGGTAAGTTTTTAGTCATAAGTCTCTGTCGCATTTGTGGCTCTATAAGTTCAATATCCACTGAACGTAGGTATGCGCTGATAATTGTGATTGACCATTGTGTCAATTATTATGCCATTGATGCCTGTTATATTCACCTTGTCAAAAAAAAATTGTGAGTGGCCAACGTCTACTATTTCGTGCTCCACTAAAATGCTTGCACATTTTATCTAAAACGTCAACACCGCATTTCGTTCCCTTTTACTCAGTAATGACCTCAGGTTTTCTTGCCTCTCCGGTAGAAGGATCATTCGCACCATCATTGTGCATGGTTGATGCTACCAAAACTACTTTTTTGGCTTTGGTACATATGACACTAAAGTGCATTTTTTTTGGAAACCAAATAAGGAGTTATTGATGGGTCTACCTTTGGAAGATTTGAAACTAGGTGGAATATCAGGTTTGTGTTTCAGTGTCCCTATAGCAGTTATCTTCTTCTTTTCTAATTCCACCAACAATGTTATACTGATAAACCATGGTCACGTTGCTTCCCATACCCTCAAAAAGCTTTACCATTCTGAGTACATTTAACTTAATACGGAAAAATCTCCTCTCTAATCTGCATACCACTGGGTACGTAATTACACGCGTGGGGGCACTGGCGTGCCCCAGGGATGCTAAAATACTTACACAGGACACATCCGAGTGCCGGCGTAGTCGCCGCGAGACTGAAGGTTACGCAAAGATATTTGCAACAGCTACTTCAAATATCAAAATCTAGCGGTTAAGTTTTGTGATTTACAGGTAAATATATGCAACTGCGGCACGCCTGTGCCTCGCTTGTGTAACGGAGTGTTAAATCCTGGTCACAGCATAATCTTGCAAACCACAATCTTCTTTATCACACAATTTCTCATCCTGTCACTTAGATTCAGCCCTAACATACTGTTTAGCGACCGCCGGTTATTTCAGTTTTGGCAAATATTGGCACAAAATTAGACGAGAAGCTTAAACATTAGAAAATAAATTAAAAGATCTTAAAAATTAAACTGTCTAGATTAAATATAAATGAATATATTATAATATAAATATAATTTATGTATACATTTAAAAAAAACTTAGTAGCTAAATACCCTCATTTAACAGATCCGATTTTAGTCCTCAATAATACTACCAGTCGCGCTGATAAAGAATGGGATTATAAATGGCCTCTCATCTATTCAGCTCTCGCTTGCACACTACCGATATGTTACACTCGCCGGTATTCACAAAAAAAATAACGTCATTTATATGTTACGATAAGTGTTTTAGTGCTTCCACTTTAATTTTTCCCAGTAACAAAACATGAATGTTTGATATACTTTTGTTTAAGTTTTAATTCTTTTGAAGTATCAATTAACACTGTCACTGCCCGATTTCCTGACACAATAATAAGACAATAGTGATCCTTGGAATACATATTAATAAATTACAAAATATATATACAATTTGTTAATCGTTTTACATCCCTATCTAATATTCAGTTAGTAATTTTTTGCAATAACTAAAAATATGTAAATACTACAAAACAATACACTAACATAATGTTTTATTGAACATAACATCTTTTCTAATATAACGATGTACCCATTATAAGCCCGTTTCCGCTTTACATACTCTGTAAGTTGACAGTACAGGCTCTGCGAGACGCCATTTCTAATCCCATTCTTTATCTGCACAAGTAGAAAAGGCTTTCAACCACAGCGCTGCTAAATATAAAACAAATTTGTATAAAAAAATGATATCACATAATTTCTTTTTACCCTAATTTTATAATACCTGTTAGACAATTACTGTTTTTTATCAAACGTAGGTTTAAGGTAATACGTAAACGTAGGTTTAAGGTAGGAACATGGCTATAGAAGATTGCAATCTTAAGAATAATCATTTAAAAATTGTAAATCATATTAGTCTAAGATTATAACAACATGAGCAATCTTTCATGTTATACGCTGGTCCTGGTAAACAATTGATAGATTGACTTACTAACAGTTGGACCTACATTCCGAGTTAAGTCACCATATTTTAAATTAGCAAGCAACAGTTCACCTTCCTTCTGATTATAAAGTTTATAGGCGTTTATAAGGGAATGAGGTGTCTTGTACTGGCTTGTTATAGCAACAGCTTTCTCTACAGAAACTCCTTTTAACTGTAGCAATATTTTTATGAATGCTTCAGTGACAGTTAATGCCTTATTTTTTGCTGACGACTTATTAAAATAATTAAATGTCATCAGCACATTTTTTTCTGGCGGCGCTTCGGTTCCTATCAATGTTTTATCCTGAAACAATGACAGTTCTTTAAACCTAAAGATATACAATCACATGATATCCTAATGTTGCCACTAGTTTACCCAATTGGCTATAGGAATCCTCCTTTTCCTATTTTTGGGCTACTATAAAAGAATTCTGCCAATATCATGTCTAATAATTCAAAATGATTATGTACCTAGATCACTTTTGGGTTGTTAAGAGGTGACTGGAAAACGCCACAGAGTATTAATCAAGCCTATCTCATTTTCTGCTAACATATTGTGACATTAAGTTGCATAGTTCTATTTTTTATTATTCATTTAACTTTGTATGAAAATAATATATAAAAGTAAAATAGGACCTGTCAACACATTAAAAACTTGTTACATACCTTATACCTAATAATCAGTCTTTTAGTGAGCATTGCCAAAAATCGTACAGAGTAAGCCAAGGACTTAGTTTTGTGAATAGTGAAACCATCTAACACTCTAGTATTGGCCAAAGCTTGCATGAGGGACTGCATTGGCAATCCCACATTTTTATTAGATCCATAACATTCCACCATATAAATAACATTCTCAATGCCACAGCGTCGAAGCCTGAATTTCTGCTCATGAAACCTTCCATCCTTAATACTTGCTGCTAGGTCATCCATTCTTTTTCTTTCAACAATATATGGCAAGACAAACTCCTGATCCTTATTGTTTTTGTGTCTAGCTATCCAAGTAAAATCTCCAACTTTAAGACTTCGATATTCATGGAGCAAGTTGGGATATTTTTTAAACTGTACCACAGTTGGGTCGTTCTTCTTTGTGAGTCTGAAACAAATGTATTTTAATTGTATTTGTCTCATTTACAAAGTTGTTATTTTGTGATCGTATAATAATCATACACACAGATAAGATTGAAGTTTCTGTGGGTAATATTGAAATAACTGCCTTTTATTAAGCTGTGGGTGTTATAATAATAATAATAATAATAATAAGCACCAGGCTCTACTGGGACCGGACCATCATCACAGACAGGACTGTTCTTGCGAATAAGCCTGATATTGTGCTGATGGATCGGGCACAGTCAAGGACATTTTTGGTCAATATTACCATTCTGTATGACGAGAACCTCGTGAAAGCCGAAACAGATAAGCAATCAAAATATCTGGACCTGGCTCACGAGGTGACCGACATGTGGGGTGGTCTGCCGACCGAAATTATTCCTGTAGTCGTCTCTGCGAATGGGCTAATCCCAGTCAGCCTCTCGGGTCATCTGATGCGACTGGGACTCCGTGACGGACCGCTCCGGGCTCAAATGCAGAAGGCGGTGCTCCTCGATACCGCCCGCATCGTCCGCCGGTTTCTTTCCCTTTCCTCCTAACCCTCGGCAGTTAGGGCTAGCTAGCTTCCATCTGGTTGGGCTTTTATTTATTTATGTATTTTTGTATTTATTTTATTTTATTGATATTTATGTATATTTATCTTTTCATTTTAATTTAAAATTATATATTTATAGAACCCAACCAGATGAGAAAACTATATAGATACCCCACATAATAATAATAATAATAATAGCCTTTTATTCCTAAACATAGGGTTACAAGAGGTCCCTAATTTCGGTGTGCCTTTTGGCATAGGCCTCCTCCTCCAAATTTTTGTCAGTACATCTTTTTTTTTATAGGATAGGTGACAAACGGGCACACATTCACCCTGATGGTAAGTGGTTGCTGTGGAACATAGACATCTACATCTATCTTCGATTATGAATAAAAATGCAGATGCGTTGTCACCCATGACTAAGATAGAATGCCTCGATTCCAGTAAAAAGAGTCCCCGGTTCTCTACACTCACCATACGATACACAGCAGCATAAAGCTACTATTTTACGCTGGTATTCTGTGAGAGCGTGGTCCTTCCCCGGTCGAGCCGACCCATTCATGCTAAAACTATACTACTAATATAACTGCAGCATGGCTCTACCACATATATCTAAGCTAATCTCTGGAATGGTTAAACGAATCTGAATTGACAAAAAGATACAGAGCAAAGCCAGGAGTGACCTAGGCTGTAATTTATCCGAAAAACTTGTTACATTTTTTTATTTCTGATCATTTTATATGGTCGTTGATGTTAATCTTAAATTCAAATGACCGTAAGAGATCCAGGCAAAGCCAGGGCGGTGAGTGAGTATCTAGTGAGATATAACAACAAAGACTAAAGTAAAGATATAAGTACTGTAAACTCACATAAAATCTGTTCTAATGTGTACAAATGTATATAACTTTTACAACACAATTAACACAATCACATATTGTTGAATGTCTTCTTTATACACTATGTTCAGAGCTTCTGAGTGTTAACCAGAGGATTTTCTGTGCTTTTGTGGATCTGGAGAGAGCATTTGATAAGGTTATAAGGAAGAAAATATGGGAACTGTTGTCGGGATATGGTGTGGATGGTCGATTGCTAAGGGCTGTGCAGTCACTTTACTATGACTGTAAAGCCTGTGTGCGGGTAGGGCATGACCTGTCACCCATGTTTAGCGTCCAAGCGGGCGTAAAACAGGGTTGTGTCATGTCTTCCTGGCTGTTCATACTGTATCTCGACAGCTGTTTACAGAAGCTGAAAAATAGCTGTTTGGGTGTGAAATTGGGTGACATTAAAGTAAATTGTCTGTTGTATGCTGATGATGCAGTGCTTATTGCACCATCAGAAGCAGAACTGCAGGCATTAGTCACGTGTATGAAAGAGGAATGTGAAATTAAAGGTCTCCGTTTGAATGCTAATAAAACTAAGGTTCTGGTATTTGAAAAGGACGAAGAGAGAACGAAATGTGAAATATGGGTAAATCAGGAACGTCTAGAACAGGTAAATGAAATTGTATACTTGGGGAGTGCTTTCAGCCGGGATGGACGATGTGATTTAGATGTGGATAGGCGCGTCGCTGCCGGAAACAAAGTCAATGGTGCCCTGAATACATTAATCAAAAGGCAAGGCGTGGTGAAGAGTGCACGCCTTGCAATACATAACGCAGTGTTGGTACCGACTTTGTTATATGGCAGCGAAACGTGGGTATGCCAGAAGAAGCATAAAAGCAAGTTGAATGCAGTGGAGATGCGATCTCTTCGTAAAATGTGTGGTGTTACCATAGCCATAGAAAGCGAAACGAAGAGATTCGCAACATGGCAGGATTGAAAGATGACCTTATCACAAAAATTCATAGGGGCGTACTCCAATGGTTTGGGCACGTTGAGCGAATGAGTGAAGACCGAATGGTGAAGAAAATATATAGAGCGAAAGTAAATATTAAAAGGTGTCGAGGTAGACCGAGACTAACTTTCGAAGACCATGTGAGCAAATTGCTCGAAGAGGGGAAGGTCAAGAGTACTCGGATACCTAGACGTGCATGTATGAAGAAGTTAATGAACCTGAAAGAAGCGAAAGAGGTATGTAAGGATCGTGACACTTGGCGATCTGTTCTCTCTGGCTACCCCGTTAGGGATTGTGCGTGAAGATAAGTAAGTAAGTAAGTATGTTCACTATTACTTCTAAAAGCCACTTAGGTCAACCCCACTGGAATAGATCTTTATCTGTCTTAGGAACATATTATATAGTATTGGCGATATATTTAGGTTCAGGAGCAAGTAAAGTCAAATTTTACAATTGTCTAACTAGCTAACTACCATACATTAATATTAATATTGTTTTAATTTTATAGGAGAGCGGACAAACACCTCATGGTAAGTGATTAACACCGCCCATGAATCAAAAATCTCTACTGGAAGTCGATTCCACAAGGAAGTTGTGCAAGGAGGATAACTTATTTTGAACCCCATGGTGGTGGACCATCAGTCATCCAGATGGTATGGATGGTATGGCGATAGTAAAATTATGCAGCTGGAATTAGTCTGAACAATTCCTCAGTGCACTCCCCGTGGTAGATGCAATAAAATACACAAAGAGATACAACTTTTCTTCACAGTAAGTCAAGCCGATCAACTCTGCGCTGGATGCGATCAAATGGCTGGCACTAGGGAGCCCCAGCCCAGAACCAGAATGGGAACAGTATTCCATGTGTGGTCGAATCTGCGCCTTGTAAAGTTGCAGGCGGTGAGCCGGCTTGAAATACTGTCCTGTTCTGCTGAGCATACTAATCTTGTTAAAGGCCAATTTGGCCTTTTGTTCCAAGTGACCACGAAGCTGCACGTCACTCGATATGTCAATGACGAGGTTTCCGATACTAGCTGAGGCAACAAGAGCAGTACCTTGAAACTGATGGCATACAATGAAGGGGTTCTTTTTTTTAAATATTGGCACGGTTGGTGTATAAAGCATCACCAGTGCTGTCGTCCGCATAGCAAGAATGTTACTGGTTTGCAACATATCATTGATATGCAGAAGAAACAGCATTGGTGATAGCACGCAGTCTTGTGGAACACCAGCGTTAGTGGGCGTGTTATCAGACCATGCATCGTCTACTACGACCTTGATGCTCCAATATGCAAGAAAACTGGTGATCCAATAGCACAATTTCTCGGGAAGCCCATAGGAAGGAAGCTTCGTAAGAATCCCTTTGTGCCAAACCCAATCGAAAGCCTTCGCTATGTGCAAACTAATGGCCAACGCCTTCCTCTTGGGACTCTACTGCCTCTGAGTTAGGTAACCCAGAAGATCACCAGCTGAGCGACCCCGACGGAATACTGTACTGGCAGTCACTAATCAGCTGGTGATCCTCAGGGTATGTCATGAGCTGGTAGTTTATAATGGATTCCATTTTTTTGGAGGAGGTGATAACGATAAGCACAGGCCTATCGTTATCACATAGTTAGACGGATCTGAGCGGTCGCCTTTTTAAGGGACTACGCATATTGAGTAGCAATACCGAAAAAGACGCGTTAAAACCGGTGCCTTGAGAGAAGTGCTCTGAGCACCTACCGCTGAGTTAACAGCACATGAGACATGGAACACTCACACCGTGTGATCGTCGGCGGTGTGTTCCCCTCGTCATCAAGAGTCGAGTTAGACGGGAAGAGAGAGCCCAGCAGATTGGCTTTGTCCTTTGCGGCACAGCGGCATGGGCCAGTGAGTCGTTCTCCCTGTGTAGAGATGGCAGAGATGGCTGACAGAAGTCCCTTTGTGCATTGCACACGTGCATTTGACACGTGCATTCTCGCCTTGGTGAGAGACCAGAATGAACGTGTTTCCGAAGTCGAACTAGTTTCCCGCCAATTCTGCCAATGTGCTCTGACTCTGCCTTAGCAATGACTCTTTTGAAGGACCTGGAGGTGGAATTATACTACTTTTCAAGTGCTGGTACGTGGATGCTCAGAGAGGGATTCTCCTTCACCAGTGGTGCTTGTACCCTCCTGAGGTAGTGTTCTATTATCATGTGTAGGGGGGGAGAGGTATTGGACCTCACTCACCAGACGAAATGCAGAAGCGAGACGAAATGCAGAAGCAGAACTTTTACGTCACTCTAGTCTTCTGTGAGGTTGTGGTACACCCCAGATTCAAGCCGAGCTCGCCGCCATATGTGCAATATCAACTACTCTATCACTGTTAGCATGGCCTTACCACAGTTATAATATTAATATCGAGTGGGAGGCATGTACCAGTAAGGGTGTTACCACACCAATTGATCAAAGCCAGATTGAGGAGTGATCGTTTCGATAGTTTCTACCACACTGATCGACTTATCACATCGATCAATGGTTGAATAGATTAGTCAATGTTAATCAAGCTGTTTGATTACTTCAGAACCCTGCCAGCCCCATCGACAGTTATTTGAAATGTTATCTAGATGAAGTAAGCAATCTCTGACCATAAAACATGGTCACAAGCAGTCTTCTGCGTTTGCATCTTCACATTAATAATATGGACAAGAGCATACTAACAATAAAGAGCTCTTTTCTGAATACACTTTGAAAGATACTGATAATGAGCCCACAACCACATCAATTAATTGTCAATTGACATCGATTGATGATTGAACAACGTTTTATCAAACAGTATCTGTTGACTAGCTAATGCTACCACACCAACTGGGCTATTAACATTGATCAATAGCATCGATTGATGATGGATCAAATAGTGTGGTAACACCCTAAGATATGTGTAAATCAATTACTAGTTAAATTGACAACCTGATAAGAGATGCAGGAAGTTGATAGATGCAGGAGACTCAGGCCCTTGCTTTTTGGTATTCCTTAAGGGACGCCTATGTTTAAGTGGATTTGTGATGGGCAGTAATTGTTAAATAGATGTATATGTACCAGAATGTAACATATTATACTAAAATACATACCCGCCCGTTTCATTTTTATCTATTAGCAAAATAATGTCAAAACATCCGGGATCCATTTGTAAACCTTTTACATGTTTTAGGTTTGTGGTTACTGGTATATTTGAAGAAATACTAGTGTTAGCTGATTCAATACCATGTTCTCTGATGTTGTTAGGCTCTTTGTTTGGCAATTGATTTAGACTAGACTTTGTATTAAAAATTATATCATTAGCACTAGGTATTTCTATTGAGTTTTTCAACAAATCATTTGCTATTGCAAGTCCTTGTTCCGTCAAAGAATACTCATTTTCATGCTTACTTTTTTTTACCAGCCCTTTTATTATTAATCTTTGCATGTTAGACCAAGCTGTATAAAAAGAATCAGGACTTCGAATGGTAAATGAATCATCACAATATTTCTCAGCATACTGTATTATAGTATCTTTATTCATTGGTTTTCTTCTATTATTTTTGGTATATTCAAGCAATGCTATCAAAATTGCATAGCCCCCTGATCTATATGCTGGCTTATAAACTTTAGATTTAGTTTTTTCTGGACTAGGCAAGCTAATGTCTTTTGTACTGGTCAAAAGCAAGTTAGCATTATTTTTGGGATTGTTTTCTGAGCAAGCTGATAATGGCAATTGATTTAGGGAATTATTACAAACTTTAGATTCACTTTTAGGTTTTTCTGGACTAATGAAGCCAATGCTATTTTTACTGGTTGATGGCAAATTAACATAATTTTCCAGATTGTTTCCTGAGCAAGCCGATAAAGGCAATTGATTTGGCGAACTATTACAAACTTTAGATTCACTTTTATGTTTTTCTGGACTAATGAAGCCAATGCTATTCTTACTGGTCGAAGGCAAGTTAGCATCATTTTTAGGATTGTTCGCTGAGCAAGCCGATAAAGGCAATTCATTTGGGGAACTATTACAAACTTTAGATTCACTTATAGGTTTTTCTGGATTAACGAAGCCAATGCTATTCTTACTGGTCGAAGGCAAATTAACATAATTTTCCCGATTGTTTCCTGAGCAAGCCGTTAAAGGCAATTGATTTGGGGAACTATTACAAACTTTAGATTCACTTATAGGTTTTTCTGGATTAACGAAGCCAATGCTATTCTTACTGGTCGAAGGCAAATTAACATAATTTTCGGGATTGTTTCCTGGGCAAACCGCTAAAGGCAATTGATTTCGGCAACTGTTGTAAACTTCTAGCCTTTTATCTAAGAACAAACATAACCTTCTGTCGAAACCATTAAGAATAGCACATTCTGCACCTGTCTGCAGTGGTAACGGATATTTAGAGAGGGACGTCAAAGCAGTGTTAAGCATGTTTTCAAGTTTACTTTTCTTTTGTTTGGCTTCTTCATACAATTCTTCCAGCCAGTCCTGAAAGATTGGATTTGGTCGTTTACGTTTTAAAGTAATTCGATTGCCTGATTCAATGGTGTCCATCTTAATTTTATTTAATTGTAATCAATAATCTAATAAATGATTCTCATAGCATTAATCTTAAAGTGCACTAGCACTTATTGGTTTGTGATCATAAAGGCACTGAGACACAGAACACAATTACTGTGCTATAGCACTTCTTATTCTTATCACTGAACATATGATTCATATATTCTTATTTCTTATTAGCTAACCTTCATGCTTGTGACAATCAATGACAAATGACAATTTCCCGTATATACAGGGTATGTTCCGAAATACAACGCAGTGTACTGTCCAATGCAAATGACGTATCATTTGACACTTTATTGTACTAGCGTGCCACCGCCATATTGTGTCGGATATCCGGCCATAATAAAAAATTTTTTAATGGTGTGTTTGCCGAATGAAGCATGACAGAATTTGTTTGTATTTATTCAAATACAAAAAATTATAGAATAATTGATGGTATATCCATTAGGAGGATATAATGATTTTTGGAGCACAAAATGACAAAATAATCGCCAACACTTTTCCAAATGGCGCAAAAGTATGACGTCATATACTGTCCAATGTTTTGGAACGAATCACCAGTATAGCGACGATTCATGACGTCATTTGCATTGGACAGTACACTGCGTTGTATTTCGGAACATACCATAGATAAATAAATATGTAGCAAGCTAGAACATACCCACAATTTATAGTTGGTTTGTGGCATAGACGTATATCGTAGACAGAGAAACCTATAGACTAATGATCGGCGTGGCCTCGAGTGAGAAAGGACGATAACGAATTTTTAGGTTATACAATAATCTTTATGACTTTTAAACACATTTAGATAAAAAATTTAATTGTTCTAAGAACTGAACTGAACAAGATTCACCAATCTTAAGCTCACAAAACACTTTTATCTCACTTAAACCAACTTGTAAACTCCTTAAATCGCTACGCTTTCAAAGTTGTTTAGCAAATTGTAGAGTTTGCTAAACAAAAAAACCGGCACGGTGAAAGGGACAAACAATCACACCGCTCTATCTCATTTCTATGCAAGACGTATGCATAAATCTATCTTTTTCGTGTGCGAATGCGAAAGAAGGCGTCAATTTGTCTATAGGTTTCTCTGTCTACGACGTATATAAATATATACGGCTATGGTTTGTGGCATCCTTTGATATAACCGTGAGTTTGCACCACTGACCTCTATATATTAAGCATGGGCGTTTTCAGTTTTTATCTGCAACGGTTACATAACCTATATCTAGTTTCCATATCGTTATTGAAAACCGTTTTCAGATATCGATATCAATAGTAACGGTTTGCTACTGAATGTGCAAGCGACAACCGAAACATAACCGCAAACTGTACTACCAGTGCAACATTTATTTTATGTATTACATAGATTATTCTAGATTAGAAGTGAGAGGTTCTAATGTTATTGTTATCTTAGATGTAATATTTAAACACGTATGTTTTATACGTGGTAGAGCCATGCTGCAGTAAGATTAATAGTATAGTTGTAGCACGAATGGGTCGGCTCGATCGGGGAAGGACCACGCTTTCACAGAATACTAGCGTGAAATTGTAGCTTAATACTGCTGTGTTTCGTATGGTGAGTGTAGAGAACCGGAGACCCTTTTTACAGGAAATGAGGCATTCCATGTTAGTCCTCACTGGTGACAACGTACTGCATTTTGATTTGTAATCGAGGATAGATGTAGATGTCTATGGGCCGCAGCAACCACTTACCATCAGGTGGACTGTGTGCTCGTTTGTCACCCTATTCTATAAAAAAATATAATTTATGTAAATTCAATGTATTGAAGTAATAAATTATACCGTTACTGTTACAGCTTATTAAAGTACACTGCTGAACATAGGCTTTCACATATATTACACCTTAGGGGGGATATTTGCCATAGTTGCCACGCTTGGCAAGCGGGTTGGCAACCACAGTTTTATGAAGTGAAACTTTTTACGGGAGGGCCTTGATTGAAATGCTGATCCGTAACCTTTTTATATGACGAAAAGTGGTGGGTATAACACATTATTCGGTCGATCATTCAAATCGCAAACGCAGGGCATTACAGACCATAAAGTATATAGTAGTACAATTACAAGATTACAATGGTCTTTTGTTCAAATACTAATCTTATATTAATTTTATTTAAAACAGTTACCAAGGTACACGTATTTATTTTAGTAAGATTGAGCTTAGCGCACTTCAGTAATGGCGCCATCTACTATGTGTATAGGTAAAGTCATTTTGTCGAACAAACATAGATTGTCTTTCAAGGTGCTACGTAGAGTAGATGCTATATGGCATAAACCTGAAAAAAAATCTCTTCTTATTTTTTAAAAACGTAACCTCGACACTAGGATTTTCTCCCGTATCATGGAGGCAGTTTACATACATATATGGTACAAGGACAAACATCCAGACCCGACAATTATTTGTAAGCCATACAAATACCTGTATCGTGCGAGATTCGAACCCGCGGTATTTAACGTTGTAATTCAAAGCTGATGTGTCACGGAGACGTCAAATTTTATTATTTAGTTGATTTAAAATAATAATTTGTAAATTTTTATTTAAATATTTTTGGTTGACATAACATACAACTGTGGTTTAATAAAAATAAAATTACATAAATAATAGACAATTACTTAATTAACAAACTAAACCGATAATATTTCTTCTTAAGATCGAAGAACATGATGTACTGTGACACATATGTATAAATAATTTTATGTAAATAAATTAATGATATACATAATCTACGTTATTCAAAAGTCATTAATGAATAAATGAAATGTTTCCCTGTAATACAAAAGTTTCAGTTCTGTCGTGTGTCTTCACGACACACACTGTTCATAGTCTTTATTACGAAAACGTTGCTGCTCATCTCCTGATTTGTTTCCTTATACTTATCACCTTTTACGACACCCACGCAATGATAATGGAGTAGTGGATTAAATTACGTTCATTCTATCCTTATTTATTTCTATAATTTTGTAACCCATTTTTTTTTTCAAAATGAATCGTAGGATCGGAGTTTGATTTCAAAGTCTATAATTAAAGTGTATTCTTAAGAAGTAAACATAATTTATATATATTTATAGAAAATTATTTTAGTTAGTTTTTTTATTAATCATTATTTAAGTTGGCGATTTTCCTTAATACTTAACTAGGTTTAGTACTAGCAGAAAAGTTTTAAATTCGAATTCCTAATTCAATTTCAAAATTCAACTCTATAAACCGCAGGTTTACCTGATTTTGCACTAGCCGCTGATTCGGCTCCGGTGGAAGAAGTGGTCGGAATTGTCTTTTTTTTATCGAAGTGAGACCATATTTCACTAGCCTTATGCGACATTTTTAAAATCTATATTCAAAAATGATTAAAAGTCTAAATCAACTTAAACTATACTATGCTATATTATATTTACATTTTACACATAATTGTCTAAGTTACAACTACCTAATGCACAAAATGCACACAAATATTGCAAATAAATGCACCAACGCAACGTCAAAAATTAATAACTTAATGGATGTTATTATCTTTTCGAACGGCACGAGCACGAGCCACCAAGACCAAGTGCGTAATTGTTGCGTTTAAAAAAATCAAATAAAAAAAGCTAAACTTTCCATCCAAAATATAAAAAACATATAAACATAAAGTTGCCTAAACCAAATATAATATGATCATACAAATGCAAGTCTTGTGTCTATTTTCCCAAAGATCATTTAAATTTGACAACTCTCACAATTACACAAACTTAAAAATTAGGCAATTTTAACCATTTGAAATTTGACCTTTTTGCTTTAGGTAATTATATCCAGATGTGAAACTAAAACTACCAAAACAGAAATCCGCTCTTTCTATACGTATTTATCATACCGTCGCAAGAACAAGAAACATTGAATATCAACGAAGGACATCGCATAGGTTTAGTTCGTGGGCCGTGTTGGCATATCGTTTCAGTTTTTGCGTTTTACGTTTCGCAAATCTAAGCCTAATGAACTAAAGATCATTTGAAATTTGACAACTCTCACAACTACACAAACTTAGAATTTAGACAGTTTTAACTATTTAAAATTCGACCTTATTGCTTTAGGTATATAATATATTTCGCAATATACACCGTTGTGTGATAACTACCAAAACATCGCAACGATATCCATATTCGCCTCATCTATTTCTATACTTATTTAAACTATCGTTGCAAGACGAGAAGCGACGAATATCAACGAAGGTCATCGTTTTGGAAGATCGTTCTACAGTTTGTGTTATGCGTTTCGGTTTCGTTTTCGTACGTTGGTTAGGTATAATATGGTTTTGGTTGGATATGTGATAACGGTTTTGTACTTAGGTTTATCGATATGATATGATATATATTTGATAACATAACGTTATTAGTTACGTTTTGATATATCGGTCTCATGCCTGCTATATATACAACAATATACAAGTACGCTGGACTGGCTACACCGGGCTACACCATACAAAATTTTGAAGCGCCGCTAAAGGATGTCTTGAAAAATAAAATTGACACAATATGCCAAAGTGTGTTGTCTCATTTATATTGTCTTATTTCATAAGTCTGTGTTTTGAAATTTTAAACTAAAAAACGAAAGTATTTTGTTGTTTGATTGTGTATAATATTAGTTACATAATAAGAATAATTTTTATCAATAATGAGAGTGTGCGTAATCTGTAAAACTCGTTACCAAAAGAGAAGTGGTATAACATTTCACAAGTAAGTGAATTTGCAGCAAATATTAAACAAATTAAAACTATTTGATAATATAAGAAGGTACTTAAAAATTTGTTACTAATTTTAATATCATATATACCAACATGTTTGGGTGTATATTACTAAGTTTTGATAAACAATAAAATTCAATAGGGTTGTCGAGTTCCTTGTCTATAATACTTATCGATGTTCTCTCCTACCCATATGTGTTAAAAAAAGTCGCCAGAATGATTATCAAATGTTTATTAACAGGTTTCCAACTGAAC